AGGGTGTCTAACTAGGGTTTTCCAGAACCAAATAATGGTTATTTCACCTGACCTGTTCCTAAAGCACAGTGTACGCCTTCACACAGTTAATATCAGTTTGTATAGAGTCCTCAGAGTTTACCAAACGACACGGAGGTGACGAGATCAGCCACAGAGGCCGCATTTAAACGAAGGCGAAATGTTGGATGCCCGTGAGCCTGTGGTTGAGGCACATCAAGATAACCCAAGTGGTCAAAACTTTCAGAGCCCTTCGCTAAGGCGTCTGCTATAATTACATAGCCAGCCATTTTGGGCCATAAAACCCTATCCTTTATTATTAATATCATAATTGGCTCGTTCCTCGTTCCACTATTGCAACCAGGACGCTCGGCAAAAATCAATTTCAATGAAAAGTCTGAGAAGATTACACTTTTATATGGATCTGTTGTATATTATTTCCTCATATATTTAGTGCAGTAAAATATATGCGGATGGGATTACCATTTGAAGTTCAGAAAATGGTGGGAATCCAGGTACAAAACAAAGTCACTGCATATCCATGGAGAGAATGATAATGAGTGGGGTTAGGCGTCCGTCAATTCATCCAGGCGTTCATCTGTGCATTCGCTTATGAGTATATGTATCCGTTCGTGCGTCCATCCGTCTTATCGCACACACTTCTATTAGACAAATGCCCTCTAGGAAATGAGATGAGAAATGGTGATGAAATAGTATTTATACTGTTCGGGAGACACTGATGTTTACGCCTGGCGCAGGACAAGGTGAGTATACTAAGACGAGCTTCGCCCCTAAAGAAAAAAATGTCCTGTGAATGAATTTTTTTTCGCACAATATTCTAACACTTACAATCTCACGTTTTTCGACCATCATGATTTATTTAAGTTAGTTCGTTATGGTAAGTTTCTGTTTTTTTTTTTCGCTTTTTAGCACGTAAGCTATTCGAGCGAATTGTACGGTTTTCGGGACTGTTTCTACAAAACACAATTCGTATAAAATATACCAATTAGTTTTATCACGCTTTCCATGAAACTGACTAACTTCTAATATTTCTTTTGTTTTTGATAAATCAGTTTTGCTACTGGCTTAGCCTGCTTTGGAGCAGCTTTTGGAGCAGACAAAAATGCGTTTTGAAGCGGAAGAACTGGCTTTTGGAGCCGATATTGCTAGAGTCCATTTTAGGACGCCTATTGTGTTCACGAAGAAATCCGTAAACAGCAGTTCTGTGGAGCCGATGTTCCGTCAAGCAGTCTTGCGTTCCTCAGAACATAGCTGTTTTGTTCTAGCCTCGAGAAAGACAAGTCCGCTTGTCGAAATGTAGGCCCGACACAACCTTTGTTTACGGATGTCTTCATCCACCCCTTCTTTACGTTTTTCGAATACCTTGTTCGTGACACACGAATGACAAATTTACAATGTGCTGCACGCTATTCAAGCATAATAGAGTAAAAAGGAAAAAAAATAACCAGCAGATAGCCTCACCACATTTATTAGACAACGCCAATTATAAAATTTGAGACCACAGCGCCTAATTATAACATGACTGAAGATCAGTTGACTGACAATTTTTCAGAAGCCAGATTTTTCAGACATGCTTAAAAATTCGGACAATTTCACGACAGCATCACAAGCCCTACGGAGTTCTATGGAGAAGAACATTTGAAATTTTGGACACTGAAACTATTCAGCGTTCAATTTTTTGGAATTTCAGCCTACATTGCCGGTAGAAAACAGCGTTACTTAAAGTTTCTACCTTCGCTATGTCTATGACCTCATAGGCTTAAACAAACACTTTCAAAAATCGTTCGGCGTCACAGTAATGTCCGAAAGTCAGCTTTGCCACAATTGAAACATGAAATAACGTGAAGGAGACAAAAAATTCTGAAGTGACCGGTAACTACAGTGTCTGGTATATTTTTAGACACTGTTACAGTGTACTAGAAGGGGGCAGTGGAGTGAACGAGGCGGCCGCGCCGCATCTCGGCTGATTCGCCGGCGGGTGACAGTAGCGGCGGCACTGTTGTCCCACGGTACTGTAGATCGCGTGAACGTTTGCATTGGGAATGCGCGCCCGAGCCTGCGAAAGCGTGTAATTGCTTGTTTTCAGCGCGTTTATTCCGTTTCTGAGCCTTTATCAGTGAACGCACTTGCTACGTGCCATGGTGCACGAGTGAATATGCAGGCACACTGACATTGCCTCCATACATTCACTGTTTCAAGAGCCTGCCAACTCAGAAAAAAAAAAATGTCAATCGAAATTTGCGCGGATACGCCTAGCACCTAACCCAATCAGCGCTTTGAGCTGCGTCACATCAAAGGTGGCTACTGGTGAACTACAAAGGACGGAGAAGTATCAAAACCGTGAACGCTCGTTTTGTCGGCAGTCTCTACGATATCCAGGGCACAGTGTTTCTCGTATGAGCGTACATGAGCTCTATTGTTTCACGAGAAACCCGAGTGTAAGTAACGTTGTCACAACGTTAATCGGTGACAACTCTTTTTTATCATGCCAGTTCTGTGGAAGATAATAATTATTGCTTTCCGAAAGGCCTATTGCATATTAAACTTATTAAAACAACACTGAAACATGTTAAAAAGTGCAAATTGTATATATAGCCCATCTGTTAATCTGCGTGAATTCATTGTAACCAGTTCTCATTCTGTATCGACAGCTTAAATTGTGCTGCTTTACAAATATTGCGTCGACGTAACGCCATTGCAAGCGAGCAAATTTATGACAATGTTTTGTATTATAAGCGTTGTTCTATTATTATCATCAAAGGTGTAGGCAGGCATTCCTTGTGTATGTACACAGTAAACACACAAACACACACACACAAACACACCCGTATATATATATATATATATATATATATATATATATATATATATATATATATATATATATATATATATATATATATATATATATATATATATATATATATATATATCTATATATACACTTAATGCTTCTTAGCACAGCTACTATTTTAGGCGGTGCATTTCTCGTCCGACTACGTTAGACTTGAACTAGTTTTGAGACCTCATACTCGAAAAGGTGAAATCTACAGTGCACATTTGTAGAGACACGCTATGTTCCGCTTCGCCAAATGTAAACTATTGGCGCAGAACTACCCAGGATATCTTTTTTTTTTTTTTTTTGAGGGAGTGTGGTGTGCAGCAGAACACCCAACTTTGGCAATTGGTAGTTGTTGTGAATGCCTGAGCTATTTTAGTATACATTGAAAAGTTTAATTACCAAAACATTTCAGGGTGTAGGAGGTTCAGATTCCCTTCCACTCCCCTCTTGTGGCTTTCTGGTTCTGCGTGCGTGTGACACAGTATTTGTTCTTTAATCTCACAGCTTTCTGAGCACAGCTAACTTCCAATAAATCAGCTCAGTTATTCTGAATATTGTAGAAGCCTAACGAACGAAGAAAGAGTTAAGAGAGAAGAAATCAGTATAAGACACACTCTTTCTGAATTATTTTCGGTCTCTCACTAGGGCTTTTATGGAGCTCAAATTCAGTAGATTGGCGTGTCATACTTCAAGGGCTATGGCATCATGTGTTAGACATGTATGATGGGCAGGTGCGAAAAAATCTGCATCAAGAAATCGCGACGGAGGAGCCGAAGTGCATAGCAGTTCCTACACGTGGCGCGCGGCTCTTTCAGTACTATTCGACTGCAGCGCCGCCGGTGCGGGCAACGCGGAAGGGATCAGATGGCGAGGCGTGGTCACGCTACTCAACACTTCTAGTACACTCTAACACTGTAGTTCCAACAGTGACATTTGGCCCAGTTCGGCTTGGCTTGGCCCGGGTTGCGTCTTACGGAGGTGCACCGCGATGTCATTTTCAACTGGAGAACCTAAATTAGTTTGGTTTCTGAAAGGCGGAACACGCCTTTTGGCGCAGACTCGGCAAATTTTGAGGAAATATAGCAGCGTGTAGCAGCCAGGGCGATTCGGCGAAGTTTGGCGCAATTGGCGCAACGGTAGAGTTACTGTTAATTGCGGCGCATAGACTCTAAATTAGATTCCTAAACTTGGTGAAAACGCCACTTCATTCTATGTTGGGACGTTTGTAGCACACTAAGGCGGTCAAAAAAAAAAACATTCAGATGAAAAGCGCATGCTATTGGTGTCATAGTGAATTCAATCATGAAACTTTTACTAGGAGTAGTTTTTGTTTAAGTGGAGAAAAATATTTTGAAAATTTAGTGCACATGTCGCATTACTTAGCTATATGGCAGCCATACAAATCAACAGAATTTGTTGCATAAACAGAGTGGAGTGCGTTCGCAGTAGAGGCTTTTAGGTTATTTTGTTAGTTCTTTTTTTGTATACTACGTATCAATGTGATGATAAACACGTTGACGTGTTGTTGAGTATTCAACTTAACGCCCTATCCGGTCTCCTTTTTTTGTTTGTCTTCTATCAAGGTTGCGTCCTTAATATTTGTCCAGGCCCCAAGTATTCTCGCCCCCATCGAAAATGCGGCCGCCGCGGCCGGAATTCGATCCCGTGACCTGCTGGTCAGCAGCCGAGTGCCTTAGCCACTACACCACCATGGCGGGTCACTCAGACCTTTTTAACCTAACGCGATGAGATTGATCCGGAGCAAATACTGCCAAACACCATCATGCCACGCGGGGAGATTTCAATCCCGTCGGCCCTGGTCCTCCGTTCTCGGAAAGGCATTGACGCACAGTTGCGCTCGCCAGTGCTCCAAATAATCTGACTTTGTCTAAATCAGTTAAACGCGCACATTTTGATAAAGCGAGGTGAAAGTTTTGATCAGGCAATATTGAGCGCAAAGTGACACGAAAACGAGAAAGGAGGACTCAGAACTTGCGCAAACTTTAAACGAAATGAAACCAGCACGCGTTGTGTCCTGCCTTCTCGTCCTTGCGTTAAATCTTCCCTTACCAACGAGGCCGTATTAGATTGCACCAGGCCACGCCTTGGAAATAGCGAATCAAAACAAGTGGAAGAACGATGACAGATTAAAACACGTATATCAAACTGAAGCAAGTCGAACGTCTTATCGGCTAGACAGCCAAGAGCGCCGCTCATAACGTGCTTTACGGCTTTTTTTCTGCCGCTGGAGGCCTTGTGTTAGCACTCTTCTGTCCAACTGACGGCGTAGGTATGGGTTGCTGCGCTGCAGGAGGCGCACGGGAACTCGGCTTGGCTGCAGGAGGAGCTGGGGTCGCTTTCTTTTGTTGTTCGGACGGCTTCGGAGTTGTTCCGTGCCTTGGCTTCCGGCTCCTTCTGGCTTGATTGCTACTGCTGCATCGCAGTTTGCATTGCTTGTGAAATTTTATACAGAAAAAAACAACTACGCTCTTGTTACACCCTGTAACGCCAACAGTGAAGCACACAGTATGCCTGAACCGTTTAAGAACCTGGTAGCCGGAGCAAACGTCATTAGGAAGGCTAAATTTCAGAGCACATTGCGGCGACGTCCGCTTTAAAACATTCAATTATGATTACAGCTACCGAAGAAAGCACAAAGACGGGAAACGTAGCATCGGCGTCAAATGAAGAAACGCTTAAGAAATTGTAAGCGTGCACCATCCAGCCATCTCCGTGGACACGCGCAGTGCTATCACGCTGGCGCGCTTGTCTATGACGATAGCTGGACGGGATGCATTGTATCATTGTAATGCTTCCCGCTATTCGCATACTCCGGTAGTACACCAACACATTCGCATGTAATAGCACTCTATAGTCTGGAATATGAGTCTGCACAACTAGTTTGCGCCAATCCTTCAGCGTCGGTAATGACCAGCGCGCTCCTCGAAAGCCGGCTGATTACAATCCAAAAGGCTTGAGGTACCTCTCAACCGTGAACACACTTATAGACAAAAAGTAACTGTTTGCTGTACCCACGCCACTAGAGAGAGTAAAAGGTAACCAGTTGCCTCTACGTTACTTACCACTATTTTTTTAGCACTGCAAGTCAATAACGAGCTGGCCCGCCTTCTGCAGCGCTTTGCGCCTATCATATTTTTTCAAGCATCGTCATTGTTGCTGAAAACTATAGTTAGATGGGGTCGCCAAAGACATCCATGGCGTTGTAACACACATGAATACCTTGCTCGCTTCATGCTAGCCACATTTGCGCCATTCTCACGTGTTGTGACAACATTAAATGCAGTGATTAACAGCTGCTGGCGCACTTTGTGTTTTGTTATCAACACTTTTCTCGGTGATGTGTACAAATTGATGTGAGACCCGCAGGTCGCGGGTTCGATTCCCGGCTGCGGCGGCTGCATTTCCGATGGAGGCAGAAATGTTGTAGGCCCGTGTGCTCAGGTTTGGGCGCACGTTAAAGAACCCCAGGTGGTCGAAATTTCCGGAGCCCTCCACTACGGCGTCTCTCATAATCATATGGTGGTTTTGGGACGTTAAACCTCACAAATCAATCAATCAAATCAACAAATTGATGTGACGCCTTCATACTCCTATTAACCCCGAGAAGTTAGAGTGGCGTTGCCAGATGCGAGGCCTGGGTGATGCCACGGCAAGAACTTTTCGACACCCACCGTTGCGTTCCTACAAGCACTGGCTTAGTACGTGGTCCTGCTGTTCGCGTTCGCTTTTTTCCTGTCTAAAGCCACATATGAATGACGAAAACAGCCTCCTGTAATAGTCCTGGCTAAAAAGAGATTGCTTTTGCCTCTGCCAACGTTGCCCGCACTCAGTGCCACAAAAATTGGAATCACGTTTGTGTCACGCTGCTAAGAATGTGTCTCATTTCCGGCCTCGACAGCCAATGGAGGTGGAAAGCAAGAACACGTTTCTGCTTAGATATAGCAAAATTATTGCTGCGTAATAATGACGTGATTCGACCTACGACACACCATCGTCACATCATAAGTTGTTCAGATTGATTTCAAAGGGACCCTAAATTAAGTTATTAAGTCGACGTTGATTCTTGAAATGGTGGTCCAGAAACCTCGTAGTGTTACTTTTGTTCCAAGGAAGGGTCTATTTTGAAATAAAATCACGTTTCAGTGGTTCGCATCAGGTTAGCGTACTTCAAATTATCCGCCTCAAGAAGCGAACCGACCGGTCCGTCTCACGTCAGTGTTGCCGTGCACAACGTTGCCCGGCTTTACTGCGCTAGTAGCAGCAGACCGAAAGCAGGGGGCGACACAGCAGCAAAAACGCCCACTGATCAATTTTCCTCCGTTGGCTCCGAGATCGCAGGACGATTTTGTTTCAACTGCACCCCGCTATATGGCACCATTTGTCCCGTGAAAAAGTTGAATTTTTGAACCGCTCACGCAATTCTCCATAGTAACGTTCGGTGGTTCTTTTTTCCTTGAATCAAACAGAAAAGAACAAGTAGCATTTTATTGCGTGTCTTGATGCACGGAAAGTTGTTTATTTAGTGCAGTCAGATCGATTACTAGTGATTAATTGTAGGCGGCTCGTCTGATGTCATCGGGATCATTTTAAAATGTCCTACTGCGGTGCTTGTGTTCTTGTGCATTTACCTTAATTTCTCGGTAAGTAGGGCACTGTTGTTGATAATATTGTCGTTTTAGGTGTTGTCATACATTGAGCTTTCACACTAACGTAAAATATTATTTGACTTCAGTGTCCCTTTAACAGATAGGGGGGTTTTGCCGGCACGGTGGTCACTTTTATTGAACGCAGCCGTGTATCTACGGACAGCGTTCTTGCCGGTGTGCCAAGCACAGCGCACGCGTGCAGTATTGAGTTCCGCAAAATATCCAGAATGCGCTCACCATACCCCTGCAGTTGTTGTATCACTTTTTTTGCGTATTCTTGCTTCGCCACCATATATTCTTTAGTGCAACATTTTTCTCGCAATACTTTCGGTACTTCGTTTCGCCGAAATTACTGAGGCTTGGTGTGCTTGAGGTTGAGTGCGAAAACTTTTATTGCTGTCAGATTGCGTCATCGTGCAGCATTGTAGCTATTATACGTTCATGCGTGCCGTTTTAGGTAGCCACCCCATCGATGGGTTTTGCTATCAGTTCATTAGCTTTAAACATCAAACTGTATGTATTGACATGAAGTGTCAAACCAGTCATCAGCTGAGTGAGGCATAGAAGTTTTGATTATTACGCGGGCCACGTCACTACAGGTGAGTGTGCCATCGAAAAACTTCACTTCCACCACGGCATTTGTTTTGTCAACGTTTATATCTGCGGTGCTCGCGCCTAGAGCTTACATTACGCTTTGTAGCCCGGCAGTAGATCGGACCAGCATTTCACGAACATTGGTGTTTAGGACAACATAAATTTTGGTGACTGTTGAGATTAAATTTGTGCATAGAATCGAACTACACAGACTCGCAGCATTTTCGAAACCATTGTGTGTGCGGCCGCAATTCTCCCAATTCGTTTAGTGATTGCTTATGACAATTTTATGTGAGTCTCCTGTTGAAGAAAGCACCATTTGGCGAAATCACGTGGCTACCTTGCTGAGGCGGTCGTAACATTCGTGGTAAACGACAACGCAGTTACTGAATGAAAACGTCTGAATTTCATTTCTTGTACTTCGACATTCATGTTATCACCCCCCCCCCCCCCCCAGTCTATGCCTAGTTGTATTGACGTTCTAACCGCTTAGCACAGTTCTTTAGCACCAATTTGTTGAGTAGGCAGTGAAAGCAAACATTTCGCTGTACTGCATCACGATCTTCACAGAGAATCTGCCGTTCACACGGGACATTGCCTATCCTATGCTATGTTATCAAAACTTTGTACAGCCTAAAACACTTTCACTAGTCATGGAACCTTCCACCTGGTAACTTGAAACATTTGCATCGCGAAACTGAGGAGTAACCACTACCATGTTGTTAAAAAGTGGGCCCACAACGGGCACCGAAAAGGGCGAGAAACGGTGGCGGAGCGGGCGAGTCCTTGCCGTGACGTCACATCAACATGACAGCAGGGACGCCAGAGTTCGTTCTAGGAGTTAATATCAACCCTAGTTATGACGGCTATCTGCTCTTGTAATAGTAATCAAAGGCCTTCGCTGAAGAGTGATCTTTTGCTATTGTATAATCATCTGGTCCTATAGGACTGTTGCCGATGGCTTATTTTTATCCTCCTTTCTCCTGCTATTTTTTTGCATTCTGTACTTTCATTTACAGTGAACTTTTTTGTCAGCTTTCTTTTTTTGCACTATTTCTAGGTTGTAGTTACTGTCAAAATATTTTTTTTGTATTTCACCTTCACCCCTTCACATACTGTAACTCACTTTGATTTGATTTATATGTGGGGTTTAATGTCCCAAAACCACGATATGATTATGGGAGACCCCGTATTGGAGGGCTCCGGAAATTTTCATCACTTGGGGTTCTTTAACGTGCACCTAAATCTCAGTACAAGGGCCTACAAAATTCCCGCCTTAATCGGAAATGCAGCCGCTGCAGCCGGGATTCAATCCCGCGACCTTTGGGTCAGCAGCCGAGTACCTTAGTCACTAGGCCATCGCGGTGGGGCTGTAACTCCCTTTTCTAGCATGTATTGTGCTTACATGTTCATATGTTGCATTGCATTTTCCATTTCTAATATATATATATATATATATATATATATATATATATATATATATATATATATATATATATATATATATATATATATATATATATATATAAGTTATCAGATGAAGCAGACAAGCAAAGGAAAAGTGATGCTTTATTGCCAACATTAGGGCCGGGGACTGGCCTTTGTCAGGGCATACAACGAAGGCCAGTCCCCAGCCGTAACGTTGGCAATAAAGCATCGTTTTTTGTTTGCTCGTCCGCGGCATCTCATGGCTGATAACTCGACCGAATCGAGGAATCCAGGAAGTCAAGTAATATATATATATATATATATATATATATATATATATATATATATATATATATATATATATATATATTAAACGTATTATCTGTGCCACCCCCTTCCACAATGCCCCTCGAGGGCTCTCTGTTAGGTACTGTAAATCAATTAGAAAAAAAAATAAAATGTGTTCGTTGAGTTACGTTTCTGCCTAACGAATCGTTCACACATCACAACTTTTTTATAGCAATTCTCCGCATGTTGCTTCCTATGTGCGCAAGGAGTGTTCTCCGGGCACGTCTGACCAACGTTCGGAGATACGAACCCTGCTCTCGACGGGCTTGGAAGCTGGCTTCGCCTCCGGCTCTCGACTGATCGGTGGCGGGCTCGGGGGCGGCACGGTTTTTGGCTGCTCGACTGGCTCGAAGCGTTGGCCTCCGGCGGGCCTGCTCGGCCCGAAGGTCACCGTGGCGCGGTACAGCTGAGGTCCCGCATCGACAAAGGGGAAGGCGGCCCAAGATCCGGGAGCCGAGGCATTGCGAGCCTCTACTGCGGCCACAAACTGACGCACGTCTTTCTCGAGCAGATCTGGCTTCTCGAAGGCGGCGAAGTGGCCGCCGCTCGGGTGCTGCTCGAAGGTGACAACATCGTGGTACACGTGACCGATGAACGACTTTGGCAGCGCCAAGAGATCTTCAGGGAACACTGAAAATCCCGTGGGCACAGTGACGGGCACCCTGCACAGCCATTGTCTTATTGATTATTAATGCGCTACATAATCTCAATACAGTTACTATATACTTTACATCAGAAAACGCTTGCATAATATGGATTGAAGCAAGAAACATTGCGTTCTAATGCTGCTACACCTTCAGGATGTTTAAGCAAGAGCTCAAGATTTTGAAGTTGTGCGAGTCCTCCCTTTAGCGAAAATACATCAAATAACATACTTATTCAAGTTAACGAGTTTCTATTTCATCCTTCTGCATTGCAACAAAAAAGCGCCGGTAGCCAAGCGGGCCTTTCTGCTGTCAGCCTGAAGAGTTTAAAAATAGCATGTGACGCTTAGAGTGACTCCGTGCAAAATATAACAATGGCACTGTTACTAAAGCTTTCAACGCTCATAGGCTTAACATATTTCGCCATCTTTAAAAATAAAATCTGAACACCTCCGTGCTGCCTGCGATCGTAACGTTCAACTGCAAATTAAGAAAAGTAATTAGTGTAACACAAACATTCATTGCAGTAGCACAGATAATTGGACTGGTTGGTATTGGCTTCACATTACGAGAAGTAAAAACAAATACGTAAGCGCACCCTCCATCACGTTAACAGAAAAGTAATTTTCATACTGCATCATCACCCTGAGGGTTTGATCTGAGGCACGTGTTTTATAGCCCAATTTTTTTTTGTTTTTTTGCCGTTTCATCTGCCAGGTCATGCAACAGAAATGATATATATATATATGTACCTACCTTTGTTTCGAATAAACTTTAGTTGCGAGTAGGCGCTCTTGGTCTACAGAATACCAATCAACAGAATACCAATCAAGAAGGGTGTAAGGCAGGAGGACACAATCTCCCCGATGCTATTTACCGCGTACTTACAGGAGGTTTTTCAGAAGTTTAGAATGGGAACAGTTAGGGATAAAAGTTAATGGAGAGTACCTTAGTAACCTGCGCTTCGCCGATGATATTGCATTGCTGAGTAACTCAGGCGACGAATTGCAACTCATGATTACGGAGTTAGATAAGGAGAGCAGAAAGGTAGGTCTTAAAATAAATCTGCAGAAAACGAAAGTAATGTACAACAACCTCGGAAAAGAGCAGCGCTTCGAGATAGGTAATAGTGCACTTCAAGTTGTAAAAGACTATGTCTACTTAGGGCAGGTAATAACCGCGGAGCTGAACCACGAGATTGAAGTAACTAGAAGAATAAGAATGGGGTGGAGCACATTTGGCAAGCACTCTCAAATTATGACAGGTAGATTGCCACTATCCCTCAAGAGAAAGGTATGTAACAGCTGTATCTTGCCGGTGCTTAGCTACGGAGCAGAAACCTGGAGACTTACAAAGAGGGTTCAGCTTAAATTGAGGACGACGCAGCGAGCAATGGAAAGAGAAATGGTAGGTGTAACCTTAAGAGACAAGAAGAGAGCAGAGTGGATTAGGGAACTAACGGGGGTTAAGGATATCAAAGCTGAAATCAAGAAGAAGAAATGGACATGGGCCGGGCATGTAGCGCCTAGACAGGATAACCGCTGGTCGTTAAGGGTTACTAACAAGATTCCCAGAGAAGGAAAGCGGGTTAGGGGGAGACAGAAGGTTAGGTGGGCTGATGAGATTAAGAAGTTTGCGGGTATAAATTGGCAGCAGCAAGCACAGGACCGGGTTAACTGGCGGAACATGGAAGAGGCCTTTGTCCTGCAGTGGACGTAGTCAGGCTGATGATGATGATGATGATGATGATGATGATGCTCTTGGTCTGTGCGATTTCCTGTTGTAGTGTCCGTGTCTGTGTGCGCACCCTTAATCAGTTGAAAGAGAAACACTCTAACCGGAAGGTCTTATGGTCCAAGAAAGCAATTATAGAGACAATTCGTTCGAACAAAGTTTCATTCTGATCGCATTAGCAAGCCTAGGGTACGTTCAAAAGGACCTTTTTTTTCTGAATATGAGCTATGCTGTCTCTCTAAGCAAAATAAGCGTTGATTTGGGCGGGAGTTATCTAGTTCGCACAAGCACTCGATTCATCCTCCTCACCTAGTGGGCCGGGTCATGCCACCGGCGAAGTTTTCCTTGTAGAAGCGCGCGCTCGACCCAATGCTGTCGGTAAGCCAGTACAGCATCACGTTGGCCAGCAGTTCATCGTAGGTGTATTTGTCAGTGAGGCCCCCGTCTTCTCGGTCCACGTTCGCACCGACTGTCCAGGTGGAGAACTTCTCGAGGATGTAGGCTGCCAGACCAGCCGGAGAGTTGAGCAGAGCCAGACCTATGCATAGGATGGCAGTCCTGTAGTATCGCTTTTGATTTCCATTTAGATCTCATCTCACGAGCAGGGAAAGTTACCGTGTGACACAGAACCGGCTAGAACCATTGTTTTAGGAAAACCGACGAGGCAGCTCAATCGCAAAGCAGCCTCGTGAGGCATGATTGGCGGTGGTCAGTTTCAAAGGTCCTCAATATTCTGCGGATTGGGTGCAGATGATATTCAGGGCATGTCTTGCTTCCAAAGATATTTTGTTCGATTATATCTACAGTCGTTTCTGGTTAATTCTTGTTTCGTACCTGCACGCAAGAATGCGGTCGAAATTGTGTGTGTATTAGCACGATACCAGCAGAGCCCAAAAAATTGTTATTCTGACGCCAAGAGCTCCACCGTGCGTAACAGCCTTTTTTCCAGTGCATCAAGGAAGACAACATCGCTTCGTTTTCTGCTAGTGTCCAACAGCTGGTTTTTGCTACCAGATATAAGCAGCCTATACGTACGAGAACGTATAGCTTATCTACCTTATTTCACTATGCTTCTAATGCAATGCCCAAAATTATACATATACACGCGCAGGCGTTTCGTTGGTATCCTAAAACGTATAAGATATAATTATATGATGTTTCTACGTTACTTAATGTTTTAACATCACTTGCTTTTCATCGCATGATGTGGTCTCGATAGCTTCAAAGAAGACAAGGAATTACCACTATTAACAAATCGATTGCATTAGTGACATTGTGCTAACAAATTAACATACGCACAAGTTGTATCACTTTCAGAAAATAGCTACGATGCACGGCATGCACTGTAAAAGAATAGCAAGCTTCTTCGAATGGGTGTGTTCGTGTACTGCTTCCCCTCTCTTACTAGTATTACTTGCAAATACGTAGTAGTGTTGTTAGCTTGACAGTCCCAGCTTTTTTTTCTGTTTTTGACTAATTGTCAACATTCAAGGGGGTTTTAATCAAAGGGGCAGGCAAGGCCTGCGAGTACCCACGTGGGAACAGCCGGGTTGGCGCGGGAGAGACTCTCCCCTACGTCGGCAATAGACCTCAATAAAGTTGCTCTCTCTTTCTCATAGGAATTGGTGCAAATAAAAACAAAAGGCAGAGGAAATAAAGATACAGATATATTACAATAAAAATATAGGCACAGTCTATACACAGGTGGCGGGACATAGATGGCTAAGCAGGTAACGGGATTGAAACTACGTGAACTTTAAAGAGAACTAGAGCAGAGTGCCTACGGTAGCAAATTTCACAGCGAAATGAAGAAGCTCGATTACGAGCATAGTTATTACGCATCGTTAAAAAATGAGCGATATAATTTTCAAAAACAACGCGACTGTAAGAAATCTGCAATGTTGGCAAGCAAATCTAACTCTTCTCGTACGCCCTTTCAGTTTAGGAGTATGGATCTGCTGTGTGGAAGTCTGCCATAGTAGCGTTTGTGGACGCTCCAAAGTGAATTCAACGCCGAACTGCCATCTTCGTCTTAGAGACGTGTGGAAGGAGGGAGAGCTGCTGCACTACAGTGAAAGCTAAGCTTAGACGAGAACTGTTCTCTACCTGGCCAGTAGTAACAAACTGATATTATTATCGCATTGAATTTACTGCAATGACACTGAGCTTCCATGTGGCTTTCTCCTACAAACAGGTGGTTGTATGCTTTTCCTTTCTGAATAGCACTGGAAATTTAAAGGAACCTTACGTAAAGAAACACCTAAAAGCATACTGATCCTGGAGTACGCTGCCGAATAAACATGCAATTCAACATTTTTTGTTTGCACGAAAAGTTAACCAGTGACGCAAGCTAACTGAAAAGGAAGTGCACTGCATGAACCAAACACTGCTGGGTAATTTATGAAAGATTATTAACAAGAGCACACTTTTTCCCTCTTGCTTAACTTTCAAGGCCGAGATAAGTTAGAAATAAATTATAAGAAATTTAGTCCAACCACATATATTTTATGCGGAACAGCGAACTACTGCTATACACATAGCAAACTTGGAAAATTATAGCGAAAACTAAGCACATTAAAAGTACTTTTCCATTAAAGCGCCAGGTCGAATTCGAAAATAGCAGAGCTTACATAATACCAGTCCAGATTTGTATGGCGGAATGTTTCTCTTTGGCGAGACTGAGACGAGCATCAGACGATGCAGGCAGGCACCGCGAGCGCCGGACTACTCGACCTGCAGTGTCGCTTCTCCGTATTTGTATTGGTATGCAGCCTCGTTGAATACCAGGCGAGGACATGCATTGGCTGGCACATTGACGCAAAAGCTTCGAAACAGTTTATTTCATTTTTAAACAGTAAGAAAAATGGCTACTGAATGCGCCAAAACTCAAATAGCCGTAAGGTAGCCATAGAACCAACGTGAAATTTAATTTTCTTCACCTTGTCGCCAGTAGCCATCAATGGCAGGCAACTCTGGCAGCTATTACATACGAAACGTACGTAACTGACACGAAATACATACGTATTTACGTATCAAGCAGTAAATTACGTCAGTCTAGTTATTACAGCGCCATGTTTTCGGTGTGTCCAATTTTTCTTAGAATTAGGAGGATAGTTTTTGGACTTTATTTTTCGTAAAAAATTCAGCGTTTATCGTAGTTGACTTTCGTTAATTTCCAGTACTAAAAAAATGGTACTTATATTGCTTCATACTGGATTATTGATGATAATTGTGTTTTTTCATCACTTGATTTTAACCCTGCTATTAATGCAGCTGTTGATGTACACTGCTGCGAAGGAGGGATCCCGAGCTGCTCGTCAAACTGCAACTCAGTTTTCCCCAGCATCTTCTTGATTAGGGATTATTATCATTATTATTATTATTATTATTATTATTATTATTATTATTATTATTATTATTATTATTATTATTATTATTATTATTATTATTATTATTTTCAGTATTCGAATACCTTCGACGAAATGATAACTGAACACTTAATCCTGTGAAGCCACTGAGTGTACTTCATATGTGCGGGGAGGTTTTAACGCGCAGACACATAGAAGCGCCAATACTGCAATACAAAACACCCATACGCTGTCTCACCACTGTGGTTCAGCACTACCAAAACTACAAGGTGTAAGAAAGTCATGCACTTGCGCAGCGAAACGTAGTTCCACATACAAGCGCCTTAATATTGGCAGGGTTGGCTGCCAATATTAACGAGAGGAGCCACACGCACACTTTCTTACGGCTTGCGCTTTGTGTTTACTTCCCACCTTTAACCACATCGAGTTCATGGTGTATACTAGTTCACCGTATTCATGGCACTGCAGCCCAACTCTCGCTAAGCCTTTCTAAAACCAAGGAGGTTACGCCCAGCAAGTATAACGTAGCAACCCTTTCTTGTCAGATAGTGCTCAATGTGCATGCCAATAGCTGCTAAGGGGGAATGAGAGACAGGAGAATTCGGCTTTTAGTTAACGCGTACACTGCGAATTTTTTATTGTTCAACAACACACAGAAGAAATCTCCCACCGGCACCACCTTGGAGGTCAAAATGTAAGACTGGTTACACACTACTACTAGGACTACGAGGGACGAACAGGTGTCGCTATAAAGAGCTTCGCTTCTAAAACAGTCATACTAGAGCCACGAGCAGCGTCGGAGAAAACCAGCCACAAAGGGAAGTTATCCACCTGCTTAAGATTCTAGCAGTCTTCAACAGAGCAACTAACTTACGCTTCTTCAAGTTCCCGGTGTAGCTTGTGTTTAATAGCTTACTACATTTTTAAGTTAATTAACTAGCCATAATGACTACGATTCGGTGAGTAGACGCCGTGAATACGGTAGCTTAAGATTCTACCAGTATTCAACAGAGCAACAAACTTACGCTTCTTCAAGTTCCCAGTGTAGCTTGTGTTTAATAGCTTACTACATTTTTAAGTTAATTAACTAGCCATAATGACTACGATTCGGTGAGTAGGCGCCGTGAATACGGTGAGCAGACGACACGACGCCAATGAATATATGTGGAGGAGCCAAGCACCCTTCCTGTTGGCTGAGGAACCTGTAGCTTCCACAGCGCTGAAGGGAACTGAAGGAAACAAAGCATACATTTGTTGATAGTACAAGTATAAATCTTGCTGTAATAGACGCCAGAATACATTACGGGGTCTTCGTCACTGGCAGGGGCACTCTCTTTTTTATTCATGATTGTTAGCTTTCAAATTGCCACTTGAACACTGCAAACGCCCTCTTATATTCGGAGCTTATCGAATGAATGCGAAATGTTAAACTTTTACTGACGAGTGTTTATCAGTTTTTTTTTCGAAATTATCTGACAACACGGAGCCCTATTCATAACTTAGTTAAGGTGCTGTGATTTATTGTGAGCAATGACGACATGCGGCTGGCTTAATTTAGAGTGAACAAAAAAAAACGTGTGCAATCTGTTAGGATCTTCCAAAATACGAAAAGGAGTACATCGAAAATTAAGACTGTTCCCATTAGTTTCAAGCCATTGGGACGTGAACAATACTGGAAGATGTAGTGAGACAGTTGGTATAATTAGGGATGAGCGATTGGGGACTAATTGCTCATTTGACAAAATTTACTTGAAATGAGCGTTTGGGGCCCTGGGAAATGATACTAAAGTAAGTTCTCAAAAAATCATTTGGTATGGCAAAAAATGCAATTTTATACCAATTCTCTATCAATTCTACAATTTACCAAATGCTGTAGACCTAACAAAAATACTAGCAACTTCTTTGACACAACTTTTTTTTGTGATACAAAACAAGTGGCGAGCTACCCTATGTGTATGCTACTTCATTTGCCTTTGAAAGGTGAAGCTGAGCCTCATAAAAGTAGATGAATTTAGACATCGATATCTGCAATTTGGCTTTCAAATGTTTTAAAGGGTCTGTCATACACTATTATAATTTTAGATTGTGCTGAAACATGTGTGGTTTACAAAAAAGAACATTTCTACTTTTCCCAGAAATCTTTTTGATTAATGCCAAGGACCTTGTCTTT